AAAACATCACTGTAGAATGAGGAGTTAGAGAGCTGCTTCTCTGCGTACTTCCAGGAGCACCTTCATCTTCTACTTTCAATGGACTATTTTTAAAATGGCAGAAGTGGTGCAAAACTAGAGACGAGATGTGTATTACTCGGGTAATATTGTGAACTCTAATCACTATAGGGTTTTTCTTCTATTTTTAAAAGTTTTTTTTTTTTTTTTAAAGATATTTATTTATTTATTTATTTGACAGAGATCACAGTAGGCAGAGAGGCAGGCGGGGGTGGGGGAGGAAGCGGGCTCCCTTCTGAGCAGAGAGCCCAATGCGGGGCTTGATCCCAGGACCCTGGGACCATGACCGGAGCCGAAGGCAGAGGCTTTAACCCACTGAGCCACCCAGGTGCCCCTATTTTTAAAAGATTTTTTAAAGTAATCTTTACCCCCAACATGTGGCTCAAACTGAGAGCCCCAAGATCAAGAGTTGCGTGCTGCGTGGACCGAGCTAGCCAGCTGCCCCGTTGTGAGTTTCTTAAAATAAGAAAAGGTCAGAGTTCTAAAATGTGCCGTTGGTTACTGTGGTAGACAAAATAATGGTCCCCTAAAGATGTCCTAGACCCTAAAACCTGTGAATATGCTACCTAAGCATGGCGAGAAGAACTTCGCAGATCAGATAAAGTTCAGGATCTTGGGTTGGGAAGATCTTCCTGGATTATCTAGGTGAGCCCAATGTAATTATAAACGTCCTTATAAGAGGAATGCCGGAAGTGTCAGGGAGAGAGGTTTTAAGATGCTGTACTCTGTCCTGAAAAGAGAGAGAGGGACCACAAACCACAGAATGCAGGTAGCCCCCCAAAATGAGGAAATAGATGCTCCTTTGGAGCCTCCAGAAAGGCTCCAGAAATTCACCTGGCTGGCAGTTGAATTTTAGCTCAGTAAGACTTGTTTTGGAATTCTGACCTCCACAAGTGTAAGAGTAAATTTGTGTTATTTTAAGTCTCTGAATGTGTGGTAATTCATTGCTGTCAGAAGAGCAATAGGAAACTAATACTATTAGCATTAAATGCCAGTCTCCTCCACTGTGAGATTTTATGTGGGTCACAGTCTGTGCATCTGTCTGTGGGGCCTTTGTCGTCACCTGTGAAATCATGGCTAATTTCTGTTATGGAAAGGAACAAAATTGAAAAAGCCATTTCAGGCTTAAGTCTTGTGTAAAATTGTATGAACAGCCTTCAGAAACAAAACCTCAAAAGATGAAGTCATTATTTTTGTTGAGAAGACTATTAACTTTCTGTCCAGAATGGAGATAATCAAGGACAGTAGTTTTGTCAGACAAGAGAAGACTAATAGCTACAAAAATCAAATTTTTTTTCTAATGCCTACTGACTATTTATGTAAGTGGGAAGAGTCTTATAAGTAAGAAAGGTATGATGAACTTATGTTCCCCTATCCATAGATAAAATTTAAACCCTAAAGATGGTAAATTAGGAGTTAGAAATTGCCGTCAAGGTCTTTTATCACCTGCTGTGATTCCATTTGTAACCAGGAGATGGCAGAATTGACACACAGATGAACTGTTCAGTTACGGGGTTTTGGTTTCAAGTGATGGAATAGATATACTATATATATTAATTTGGAAACCTGCTTCCCACGGTTTTGAGAATTACACAAAGAATGTGGAATAAAAAACAAGTAAATTATGCATTTGAAAAATTTTCAGGGTGTCATGAGGTTTCTCTCCCTCATATTAATTTGCCACATTGGAGTTTACTCTGCGAAGTCAAAAGCAGCTTTTGCTTTGTGATTAAATTTTGGCCATATTCACCTTATTTAGGTTTCTCTGTTGCACTTACTATAGATTTGCCTGTCAGAACTTGAAGAATTTGCTGATACTAAGCTTTGCAACTTTAAAGTGTATTAGGTATATATAAATATGATAGCTCTTTGACGAGAAATAATTCTGGAGATGATAATCAAAAGATATGACTTTCACCCTTGCTTCCTTAGCCAAGTAGTACTCTGGTCTTCAATAACTTCTGTCTCAGACTGCTATATATGTAAACAGGCTGACAATTGGCTTCTAATCATCAGAGGCATATTAATAGGCTGTTATTAGATTTCCCAGAGAAAAATAAGAATCAGGTCAGTTATTGTGAGCTGTGCTGGCATAGTTGGGGAAAGGATATAATGTTAATGGAAAGCACTATCGGTGATGCCCAGTGACCTTGAAGAGCGTTTCAAGAGTGAGAGGACGAGGGTGCCAGGGTGGCTCGATTGGTTAAGCACCTGCCTTCAGCTCAGGTCATGATCTCAGGGTCCCGGGATTGAGCCCCATGTTGGGTTCCCTGCTCAGTGGGGTGTCTGCTTCTCCCTCTCTTTCTGCTTCTCCCATGCTATGTGTGTTTCCTCTCTCAAATGAATAAATAAAATCTTTAAAAAGTTAGAAGTGATAGTGTGACAAGCTGGCAGTGAGCTGTGTGGTACAGAAGGTGGCTGTGGCAGTGAAAGGTCCAGAGACTGAGCAGCATCTCTCTTTCTCCTTTGCTGTCGTTACCAAATGGGAGGCTGAAGTTCACGGTAGTTTTTCTTTTTCACAAACTTAGTCTTATGACCTAAAGTTCTGGATCTTGGTGTTTAATAAATACTAAAAGGAGACATTCAGCTCTCCATTACAAAAATAAATTAATAAACATGTCAGGTAAGTTTTTATTTATGTCAGAGAAAGAAAAATCTTGATAGCAGCTTCATTCTAAATTTTAATCTAATTATCATGTTTTTGGTATGTTTAATTCTAATGAAGCCAGTATTGCATTTTAATGTTGATAAAAGATGGGAACATGTATTTTCTTTATGTAAAACCTTTGTCATTTTGTCTATGGATAGACCTTTGACGTACAAAAGACTCTTGGGTTTAATGAAAATGCCACCATTGCTGTGTCATAGATTCAGTATTGAACCCTAGATTTGTGAGGAAAGAATGCTCTGAAGAATGGATTTACTGAGAGACCCGCAGATGACATTATTTCCTTTCCTGGAATCATAGTCCCATAACATGTTTTTGTTCTTGTGCAGTGAAATACCCTGTTGTGGCTCACATTCAAATCCAAGAAAGATCAGAGTTAATAGAAAACCAAATCGAAGGCAGCAGAGTTACTGGAGGAAGTAGAGAGTGGCCTCTCTGTTCTCCCGAAATCGCCATGCTGCGCAAGTCAGGAGACCGTGCTGGCTGCTTTGTACCTCTTCAGTTAGTGAGATTGCTTTTCATCCCAGAACCTTTGCAAAGTTTTTGTTTTGCTTCTGTATTTTTAAGAGATAAAACCATAATGTAAGAACATGAGGGGTTATGAAGCATGAAGTTCCATAAATATTTATGCCAAGCCACACGAGTAGACATTTCCTATTTTCTTGACATATTGGGGTCATTCTTCACTCTTGACCTCTTGAATTGAAAAATACAAGGAGTTAGTGAACCTTTTTCTTTACTCTTTCCTTTTTTATTTGTTTATTTTGATTTCTTTAATGAGTGTTAGATGCTGGGAGCTATCCTTTTAGATTCATGTAAGTTTTAATAAACTTTATTTTCTGTCCTAGTTTATAAGTATGGATTTAAAAGTTTATACACTTATCAAGAGTAACACGATTTATACCCAGTTTCAGGCCTTAGTGGTAAGGTGTGTAGTGTGTGTGTGTGTTCGCACACACGCACACATGCAATTATCTCTAAATTAAAAATAAATATTTGTCAAGACTAATAAGTAGAATTGCATTGAAAAGCACATTTTATTTTATGATTTTTTGTAAGATTTTATTTATTAGAGAAAACATGATTTGGAGGAGGGTCAGAGGAAGAGGGAGAAGTGGGGAGCTCCATTTGGGGCTCCATCCCAGGGCCCCGAGATCATGACCTGAGCTGAAGGTAGATGCTCAACTGACTGAGCCACCCAGGCGCCCCCCAAAAACATTTTAAATTAGCCCTTTCATTTTATTTTCTCCCTCAGTTAAGATCTTTGGTCCAGAGTAGATGTATTTACCCTTTGATATTATGTTAAAGTTACCAAGTTGTAATATCTATTTTTAGAGAATTTAGAAATGCCGGGAGGTGGAAAAGTTGGAGAAATGTTACCTGTAATCCCAGTTTGTTTTTTCAAGTCTATGTAACTATATATGTAGGTAATCTAATGTTCAGTACAAAGATAAAAATATTTTTAAAATTCTGGAGGAGAGCTTGTGTGGCTAAGTTGGTTAAGCAGTAGACTCTTGATTTCAGCTCAGGTCATGTGGGATTGAGCCCTTTGTCGGGCTTTGCGTTCAGCACAGAATCTTCTTGGGATTCTCTCTCTCCCTCTGCCACTTCCCCCACCCCCCGCCCCCAAGTAAATCAGTGAACCTTTAAAAAAAAATTGTAGAATATTGGCTGATGACCAGTCAGGTGTTGAGTATGGACCAGTCAGGATTCTAGTCAGTTGGAATCCTAGAGCAGGGCCCAGGAGTACCTGGAGTTTCTCCTCAGTTGTTGTGTGCAGTAGTCAATGGGGTGGCGGGTGAGGGTCAGGGTGCTGAGGTGGGGAGCTAGTTGAGGCTGGGGTGGGTGGGGAGATGGCAGATGAGATGTACCCAGCTGATGAGCAGCTTTGCCCCTATTGATGTGTGCGTTATTGACAATAGAGCAAAAGCCCTTTTGGTTCATTCTTTCAACCTATTTTCATGTGAGCACTTGATGCTGTTCTAGGCATTGGGGGTTCAGAGCACGTAAATGTGTTTCTTGCCCTTGAGGTGGTTATAGAGTGATGGGCTTGAGACAACATGGCAGGAGGTGTGAGGATCGATATAGAACAAGGGAGGGGAGGTTCTGGGCTGACAAAATAATGCGTGTCCATTAAGGGTCTAAGGTTTTTAGGCTGAAAAAATACCTTTGACATCTTGCACTGAACCTGTACATTATCCCCTTTTAACCCTAGTTTTAAAATTTTCATAGAAATTACTTCTTTTTTAGGATGTAATTAAATTATGTATTTTAGGTTGCCTGCCTGATACGAGTTCCTTCTGAAGTTGTTAAGCAGAGGGCACAGGTATCTGCTTCTTCAAGAACGTTTCACATTTTCTCTAACATCTTATATACAGAGGTGAGATGTGTTTTTAAACTTTTTTCCTTTTTGAGAAAGATTTTATAGTAGCTATTAGGAATATTGTGATTCTTATCCCAGGAGTCTTAGAAGAGACCATAAAGCTAAATTTAATGCTGGGTCACAGTATCTTTTTATGCTAAGATTATCTTTGCCTTTTCTTTGTTTTCAAAGTTTAATTTAAAATTTCCCCCCAAATTTCTGAACAGTGCATACCGAGTATCACTACTGTGTATGTGTCCTACATTGTAATTGTCCTGTAGTAGTTTCAGAATCAGACATGAAATAAATCGTAAAAATGTGAAGTGAATAAAGATATATTAAAATGTTACTACAGAACTTGAGGACCCATGGAAGAGAAGTGTAGTAATGGACGTAGGGACTTGCATTATAAAGTTTATATTAAAGTTATTTTTTTCCTTGCTAATGTTACATTATGGGTCAGAAGTCAGTCTTGCTGGCCCTGTCGGAAGGGACCAAATTTTTACAGAAGCCTTCTTAAAAAAACAAATAGTACTCAGTCACGTGGAAATTTTCAGTGAGTCTAGGTTTTAGAAAAGTTATTCTTCTTAATGGTCCCTTTGTCACTTTGGTGAAGAGGTACTGAGTATTTAATCATAGGATCATGAGATCAGTCCAGTCGAGTCAAGGGACCCTGTTGTGAATCATGTGGACAGTTAAGTAAGTCGCGGCTTGTCCAGAGATATTTATCACTGTGGAGGGATTATTAGTGAATTTCTGATGTCTTCTGATTGAAACTGTGAAATATAATTATGTTTTTATGTGAAGGGATGATTGGCTTTATGTATGCCTTTGCTTTTGGAAATGTATTTATTGAAAACAAGTATGATTTTTCAAGCAGAAATGTTGAAAACAACTGAGTTAGTCCATTTGATTATTTTAGAGATATTCCTATTTTAAAGGGAGCTGACCTGAGCCTTGTATGCTTTAATTTATAACCTTTAGCCTCTTACGGAACTGTGGTCATTGTAAATGTTTTAAAACTCTGACTTCAGAGAAGTTACAAAGGTAAAATTCTGACTAGAGAATGTCATTCAGAACTCTCTGCTGTTCTAGCTTTCTGAGCTCTTGGCCTTTTGTTTGTTTCAGGGCGTCCAAGGATTATATCGAGGCTACAAAAGCACAGTTTTAAGAGAGGTAACTCACTGAATTTCCAGTATTGAAGTGCAAAAGAATGATATACTTTGTTGAATAAATTTATTCAGAGAAACTGCTTTAAAAATTTAAGAGAAATTATGATCACTTTTTGAAATAGTTTAGTCTTATCCTGGTTCTTAGATCTAACAAATGGGCAGAATGGGTTTGCTGAAAGAGCAGTCTCCCTGGTGAGAACAGCACCCAGCCTGTGGTGTGGTTGTTGCTGGGGTGGCCGAGTGTCTCCTTTGGCTGAAATAGTAAGAAACAACTGCTAAGGGTAAGATACCAAGTTAATTACCAGAATACACTGAATTAACGAACACTTGGTGATGAAAGAAGCGCTTGAGGAGACAAGTGTCTCTAAAGTCTGTGTCGTGTGGTCAACTCTTGTCTTCCCGATAACAAGGTGTGATGAGCTGGGGCGTTCCGTTGGGACTGGGGTGCTGGCCCTGCGGGCGGCTTGCTGCTCAGTGTGTGCCCAGCAGCCACTTCACTTCTTGTGATTACTAACGAAGTCAGGGATTCAGTATGTTTCTCTGCTGTTAGTGGAAAAATCAAAGTGATACCAGTATCTTCCTACAGGAAGTACGTCTTAATTTTTGCCTCACATAGAGGACAATATTTTGAAGTTTAAAAGTTGGTTTATGCAAGATTTATGACAGTCTTTGTCTGGTTTGGGATATAATTTTTTTTTTTTAAGAGTTTAAATCCTAGGATTTTTTTTCAGCTTTATTGAGATATAATTGACAACTAAACTTGTAAGGTATTTAAAGTGTACAATGTGATTATGATTTGATACACACACACACATATATATCTAATGAATGGGTAGAATGGGTTTATATATAATATGTGTGTGTGTGTGTGTGTGTGTGTGTGTCTATATGTATACATTGTGAAAAGGATTGGGACTTAATTTCCTATTAAAGAAAATACAAAGGGGAATCTGCATACCCTTGCTCTGTATTCTTTTTTTCTACTTGGAGTTCCCTGGGTGCTAAAATATTTGCATTTATAACAATGTTTTTAATTTAAATAAATATTGCTCTAATTAGCAGAACATTGAAATTGCCTGAAATCCCTAATTTTATTCCTAGGTAGTTCTTGTGTGTTTTGTTTTTTTTTTACTATAGACGGCAATCTTTTTTATGAAATACCAGCACTGTTACATGTTATTTAAAGCTTTGATTTCCACAAGGTAACAGCCTTTAGTGAAGGATGGTGTGGTTGATGTAGATCTTAGAAAAACTTCCTTTGAAGGAAAATTAAATGTTTCAAAATTAGTTTATTTGTGTGATGGTGACTTCTGTCTCTCAAAAATATCACCCACACTGTATCTTCATTCTGTAGTTATTTTCTGACTCACTAAACGTGTGATTTACTCAGATTTCACTGGGGAACAGCACACCAGGGGGGCACTGAACCTTTTTTATTTTTCTGAGAAATGCTGAATAAATGAATATATTTACATGCCAGGCAATACTGGTTTTGCATACAAACAGATAAAACACATGGTTACAACTGCATTCTGGTCTTTTAAAAATTTGTTTTGACATATGTCATACTAGTAATTAATGTCTAGGCTACAGTTTTTGCAAATAGTGTGACCCTACTGAGATGACTTTGTTTACTGAAAATGGCATTGCTTCGTTGGAAATTTAATTGGGGTCTTCTGCATTATACGTATTCATAAAAGATCCTTCAGAACTGATTTTAGCTGAAATATTGCTTTTGTACAGATTCTCTGATAGAATGAGAGAAGAATTATCACTGAATGAAACATAGCTTCTTTTCAAAATGAGAAAAATAAGAAGTGATACGTCTGCTTTAAACAGAATTTTTACATTATAAATAGTTTCAATTCTTACATTATTCTGACACCAATACCAATTTTTTTTTGCCAAGAGCTTCTTTGATTGTTTCAATAAGAAAATACATTGAAGCCGTAGTGAGAATCACCAGGAAACTTACACGGTTATTCTGTGTACAATTTTTTCTTTAAAACAAGCTTTATCTCCCTAGCGGTAGCCCATTAGAATGAGATTGAAGTTTGAATCTGTGCAGTATAAGATAGATTATGTGTGTTCTTTAGATTTTGTGAATGCCGTCACTTTTTTTTTTTTTAACTACATTTGATGTTTGTGGAGATTGCGTGCTTACCCCTTATGTTCACTTCAATTATTGTAGTTGCTGTGGATTGTAGACAGAGTGTAAGTAGGGTCAACGGATTATACTCTGTATCTCACCGTTTCAGTATTCGTTTGTCTCATGATCTTGGCCAAATTAGATGCGGCCAGCCCCTGAGCTGGAGTGGTGTTATTGTAGTAGGATGGAAATGGGGAGCAAAACCACAGCTGCTTTCCTAGCTGGACGGATTTCAGAGCGTCCATTGTCCTGAACGTTCTGTGAAGAGCAGCCTCACGATCTTGTATGTGAATTAGAAGGACTTCTGAAGAGGAGGAAAGCTGAGAAGCGCAAGTTGTTTCAAAAGATGTAAGAATAAGTGAAGCTTGGCAAATAACACTTTATCCACAGATTCTACTTAGCAGTCATTTTAAGGGTGCCTCGTGTGTATTGGGCACCATGCAGAACGATTCTTCCCTTAAAGATTCACATTCTTGTGGGGAAGTGACTAGGAGTAGACAAGTCATGGTGCCACAGTGATCTGTAGGACCAAAGGTGGCTGAGATGATAGAGGAAGCAGTGCTTGAGTATACTCAATTGGTATTTGTTGCGTTAATGCAGATGAATTGTTGGCCTAATTCTTGGAGTGGCAGTCAAAAACAGTCTAGGAGGCAGGCAGCCGTAACGTCATGAGCAAGAGCACAAGGGTGTGAAAGCACCTGCGTACCTCGCCGAGCTCACTAGCCGTGGCGTTTTCATGCCCACAGAAGAGGCAAGAGTGATTTCCCTCTCCCTCTCGCCAAGTGAGGATGCTGCAGGGAGGCACTCAGCCAGGTGCGGTGTTTGTTTGGAGGAGGGGTTGGGCCTCTCCCCAGAGCTGGATGCCTGCCAGGGGACTGGAGTCCCACACATGGGAAAGGGCCTTGGAAGAGCCTGGCACGTGTCCCACAGAATTGGGGAAGTAATTACTGGCATTTGACTCCTGTGTGCAGAAATCTGATGGTAAGATGGTGGTTGGAGCTGCCTCAGTGGCAGCATGTTGCCGTTGTGATCGTGAATGACTCCCGGGTTCTCTTTGGTAGATGACAGTCGCCACTACAGAGAGCTGAGACGGGTGAGGACGACCTCCCCTCTCCCCACAGTTTTGCGCCCAGGTTTCAGTGAAAACAGGTCTCTCTACAAACTGTGACACACGCAGTCAGAATCAGGCAGGCCAAACGCATCACTCAGCCGGTTCTGGAAGTTCATCGAAGCCCTAGATCCGTCCCTTCAGCCCCCGCCCAAATCACCACTGCTGGCAAAGCTCACTCTCAGGTGGACAAGGCAGCTTTTCTCATGTGGGTACTTCTTGTCTGTCTGAGACAGTAGCGTTCCCCCTAATGTGGCGGCTGGACATGGGGACCTTTAGGAATCAAGCCTCGGGTTTGCCCTTCAGCGTCTACCCCAGCTCTGTTGTTTGCCCCTCAAACTCTGATGTTCTGTAAATGTCAACTGTGTCTTACCAGAGACACCCTGTCTTAGGTGCTTCGCCGCCTGTTTGTTTCTTTAGCCGGCGTATTTTGGAGGTGATTTTTGGTCACTTCATAAAGACGCCGTCTCGCTGTTAGGACTGCAGGGTGCTCCACCGTGCACGCGAGCCGCAGTCGCTGAGCCTCCTCACTGCCCGACACTGCGCACGTGCCGCAGAGCGTGTTCTCACACGGCCGAGGATGCTGGCGGGTTCAACTCCCAGAGCGAGATTGCTTGGCTGTCGGTGTGTGGCATTCGTAATTTTGATGCCTGTGGCTACATCGCACTGCTCGGAAACAGCCGTGGACCCTTGGGCCAGGAGCGCGGGAGCTCCTCCGCTCTGCCTTACCAACGGCACCAGCCATCTGAGAGCGGAAAGCTAATCTCACCGTAGCTGTAAATCTGAGCCTGAGCGTATGAGCATATATCCAAGATCTGCTCTATCTCCTTTACTGTGAACCGATTGTTTAGATTAGGTTCAAGTCCCCGTGTGAATGAGATGGAGAGATCCACGTGAAGGGCTTTCTCCACAGCCGATCACACAGGGTGCATTTTGTATGCTTAGTAACCGGAAGGGCCTTGGACAGGAAGTAACACCTAAGTGTGAAAGGCACCTCTGCCCCAAGCCAGCTGTCTGCTCTTGGCAAGTTGCTTAACTTCTCTGAGCCCACGTTTGCCCATCTGCGCTGGAAACCTCACATAGACTGTTCTCGGTGAAATCTCCCAGCAGTCTCAGGAAAGAGGTGTTACATCAGTAGGGTCTGCCAGGGGACTCGGATGAAGAAACCCGGCTCTGGATTGTGAGGTCCTTGACCAGCCACACAACCTTGATGGGTCTCTATTCACACATCCGAATGCCATTTCGTGATGATGAGTAACAGTCGTGTTTGAGTTAGAGGCCAGCTGCTGGTGTTACTTGTAAAGCTCCTGGGCTGCGATTGGAGAGCGTTTTATCCAAACCTCTTGTAGAGAGGAGTTTTGTACTCAGTAAACAAATTGTAACCTGCGGCTGATTTCATGTTCACTGGCTACTTGTGTAGGAAAAACAACAAACTGGTTATGATAATGTAAAGTTGCCCTAATTGGTGTTTGAGTTGGTCAGAATTACTAACATAAATACGTTGGAACAATTTTTTGATTATTCTCTTTTGGGTCACATTGATAATTTACTGGAATTTATTTCCCAGGTAGAGGAAGACTTTCTCACTGAGATTGCAACAGTTGAATATTTTCCATGGAGAGATGTTTTGAAGCAACTGTAGCTAGAACTTCTGTTACTTATTTACCGTCTTTTAACATTTGTCTGCTTTCATTACCATAAAAAGAGAAAAAACAGTCCTAGCTGATAAGAAAGGCTTTTTTTCTCC